GAATCAACAATCTAGATGTAAAGAAACCAGTGTATACTATAACAGGGTGAAAGCAGCAGCTTTTCATCATCCTACAAAAAGAAATCAATAACTAGTCAAGTTTGATCTATTAAAGCATGTGTACTTGGTCAAACTAATAAAAAAGACCTTTAAAAACACAAAATACCACACATACAAGTATTAAAACAGGCTATATACTAACTATACATGTACCACATGCATTTCACAACCTATGAAGATCTGACCTGCCACAGATTCTGTGCCTGCCCAAAATGCATATACATATACCGACTTCAACAAAAGTTAAGGACCACCTTGACAGACAGTCATAATTTTTAAAAATATCCGAAAAAAAGACAGCAAGGAAAGTCTCAAAACTTTTGCTCTGAAAGTGTTAATGGGTTATCAACATGTACTGCAAAGCCTTCTAAAGGACCAAAATCACCACATGCAGCACGGAAATCCTTGGGGAATTTTAGCCAAATTTGCTGTTTTTTATTGACTTGTCTGCGGCACCAAGGACTTTCCTCAGTTAAAATTTCTGGTGCACGTTATAAACCGACATACGGTCTCAAATTGTGCTCACTTTGGTGGCAATATAAGCCTCCGTTTGCGCAAAATCAGGTATCGCATCAACATGTCACCAAGACGAAAGCTGAGAGACTTTGATAGTGCAGAGCTATGGCATGGCTGGAGGATGGAGTTGGAGCCCGAGAAGTTGCCAGAAGGCTCGCAGTGTCACACTGTCATTGTCTGCTTGAGGCAGCGCCATCAAGCCACTGGATCAGTCAAAAAACGCTCACATGCAGGTAGAGCCAAGAAGACCACTCAGAGTGTTTGTAAGTGGTCCCTAACTTTTGTTGAAGTCTGTAGGTCTCCACAAATCTAAAGTTTATGGGTTATATATCTCATTATCTTCTTTGGTGAAAGTAGGTGTCAATATAGATTTTTGCACTAAATAGTTACACTTTAAACAGCCCCAAAAGAACACTGTTTCCAAAAACAATCCAGTAAAATTTATCCCCTATTCATAATATTCAAAAGGTAGTTTTCACGGTGAGAACAATTTTTCACCATTCATTCTTTATCAGCTAAAGAGACTGGATAGTAAATCAGAAAAGACACCCTATGTTTTTAACAAAAGCATGACAGTTAAATTTCAGTCAGTTTTCTTGATGACATTTTCAAGTTACGGGATGGTTGGCTCAGTGAATCAGAAACAAATAGATAAATGATCAGAAGGCGTATGAACCCCCCCCAAAAAAACCCCCACAACAACAACAACCCAACAAAACAATGAAAGAAGATCAAAAATAGACTGGAAAAGAACAAGACCAAACATCTACATCCCACAATCCAAAAATCTATAACCTGTCTTGAAACACATTTCACTTCTGTCATTTCCCCAAGGCTATTTGGAGGTCCATCATCATCATCATCATCATCATCATCATCATCTACGGCAACAACAAAAGGCTCAAATCTTTGTGAACACAAAGGGCAGTGGATCTCATGAATGATCAGTTCTGAATAGTAGGATTCTTGACAAATAAATGTGGAGAGGAGGCAACATTTACACAGAAAAAACTTCACATAATACCCAAACCCCTTGGTCAGCTAGTGGTAGCACAAACCCATCAACCGACAAAGGCAAATTGGTGGCTGGGAGCCAGAAGTGACCAGTTCCATTCCAGTTCCATTTTGCAAAAAAATGTCAAGGGCTGCAAAATTTAGGCATTTAAAGGACAATCCATCATATCTGTAACTATCAAACCAACCTTTCAGTTTTGCTACAACCACAATTCTTGATGCATTTGTGTCCCAAGCATTTCCCGACCAGAAAAAATCCTTTATTTTCTCAAAACTACGCAGTTTGCAATGTCATCGCACCTCTAGCTCTCAACCACCGAAACCTGCTATTGAACCACAAACAGGGGACAACACTCTATAATCTCCATTAATGACAAAACCTGAGTTACAGAGCTTAAGAAAGATAACACTGTACATAAACAACTCGAACCAACAATCGAAAAATTTATGTGCAAAATACATGGAAGTGCCAAAACTGGTTTGAAAAGTTTACAGCTAAAAAGAATCCCATAATGTAACAATAAGCCACCAACACAATCTTATCTGTGTGTTCATTTCCGTGCTTTCTTTTGTCAACAGGAAACAAAAACTTTGGTGTAAAAAAAAAAAAAAAAAAAAAAAAAAAAAGACCCCAACCGTCTCACTTCGTCAAAACAGGTCACCCTTACAATTCACTTGGGAGTAAGCCACAATGGAATGCAACATTACAGGTAGATAAAAGATTACCATTGTTAACAAAGAAAAGAGCAAAAGTAATGCCTTTGGCTTGTAACTGCAGAAAGAAATAAATACATACAAATATATGTATGTTAATATATATATAAATATATATATATATATATATATATATATATATATATATATACGTATATATATTATAAAAACATACACAATTATGTATATAAAAATTGTGTGTGTGTGTCTGTGCGTGTTTTGTCGAACCTGAACTAATAACCACCTGTCCGAGACAACCACGTGTACAAACAGTCACTTACCACTTCCCCATGTGTCATTTTGCTGAATATGACACTACCCAGGGTGACAGCCACCCTCCGACTCAACCGCTGTATCTCATCCACCAAGACTACCACACAAATCTCTCATCGCCCGATACCTTGCCATAAATTCAGCCCCTAACACTGATGACGAGCTGCCATAATCCATCCACCTGCCGTTCTTGCTAGCCCCCTCCTACAACTGAACTACCAGCTGACCGCCACATAGGCCAGGCTCATAGTCCCTCCCGACTAGCCCGAATTAATTAAAAAAATTTTGTTCATGTCCACTGACATAATATACATTGTCCTTAACCCTTTTTTGAGGTTATCGGCACCCCCCCTCCCCTCCCCCAACAAACCAACTCCTGAACCCTAGACTAAAATAATTCCCTTTGTTACATTTGTCTTCTAAGACCCTTCAAGCCGTAGGCTAAAAGCAAGGTTAACACTGAAGACCTCATTCACATTTCTGCAGATTTCATATACGGCAGTGACAGGGAAGTTACCTCCCTGCTGTGTTGTATGTGCACAGTTTAAGTGACGAGAGTTTCCATACGAGAACAGGTCTTTACCACAAAACATACTTTTCTGCTGCTCCTCTTCTCTCTCTCTCTCTCCGTCATTTCATCAACAAGACTAAAGAAGTAGAGCCACAGGGAAGTACCAGCATTATGGCAATGACAAAGGTGTAGGTGTGACTGAACCAGCTGCCATGAGTATCACAATTGAAGCATGAATTGTCCTGGTGAGTAGTTCGGTTTAGTTTGAGAAAAAAGAGAAGCACACAAGACACAGAAACAAGTTGCTGATAAGTGCTGGGAAAAAAAACTTAAGACTGACTGACAGTTAATTTATTAAGTAAGTAATCGTATGGGTGTAACACCCCTTTCAACACTGTTAGTTTGATGAAGAGGTAAGACCTCTGAATCTAAAGTCCATCTCTGATAAGACTGAGCTAGATGGGTTGAGAGCCTTGAAAACTAAAAAAAAAAAACCGAAATGAGTTCAAGAACGTCCAGTCAGGGATTCAAACCACAGCCATCCACTCCATAGTCCAGCATGATACCACCTGAGCTAACGGAGCAACGCACCAACTGACAGACTGACTGACTGACTGACAAAGACATCAGAGAATCAGGGCCTTCTTCTACTTCCTGTGGCGCCCTCTATCCATCTAGTTGCCTTCATGATTCATCTATGGCGCTCATGTTAGAGTAAAAAATATCTTTAGTATTGGTCCAGGAGGTGCCTGGGGGGCGGGCACAAAACATCCCACACAAAGTGGTTAAAGCTTGCAGAGAGATGAGATCATCATGTCTTAATTCATTTCCTTCAGGGTTTTCTTTCACTTTCCCTTACAAAAGGTACAAGAAATTAAAAGAGAAAAAGCTTACGTTCGTTAAGAACAAACAAATAATAAACAAATCAAGCGTACAATCCATCAGATCACTGAAACAACAACAAAAATACTACGACCAATAAGAAATACATTGCAACTTCCACCCCCTGAAGCAAAAAAAAAGAAGAAAAAGCCCCCAGTAAAACATTAATTTTCAACAAAGTTTACACCACAAGGTAAGACTACATAGTTTCCTTTACAATTTATGGTTTTTGACAGGTTCATCAAATTTTCTAACAGGATGTGCTAAAAAGCCCCTCCCCCAACCCAAGGGAACACAAAACAGACTTGCCTACTACTACATAGAAAACTACAACAGAAAATCAACCAAGACCATTCACGATATGTAAACATTCTTTCTTTAAAGAGATCTAAATCTTCAGTACCAGATTGTGATTTTTTTAAAAAAGAGAGAGATGTGTGGGTCTCGACTGTGGTAATTTTGGCGGTCTCAAAGCAACAAAACTGCCCCCCCCCAACAAACCATCAGCTCTGTTACAAGACTGTATCTACATCATGAGTGAATGCTCTAAAGAATATTGCCTGACTACTTTACATCTCTAACGGTTTTACTAGCAATTTGCGAAGTCTAAAATCCCGTGAAAATCTACAATCATATGTGAGGCAGCATGGTGGAATCAGGCTCTCGTCAAAATTATCAAAGTGAAGAAACTTCCCTTTTTTTAGAGGTTTATGAATTTTTATCAATTTTTTTTTAGCTCAACACCTTTCATGCCCATTAAAGAACTAATTTCTGCGTGGATTTTTCTGAAAAACGTTGAGTAAAAGCACAAAAAATTTTAATTTTCTGTTACCACCGACTCTTAAGTTAAAGAAATAACTTATCTTTGGCGGCCATTTTCTCACTAATTTTACCTCTGAAAACAGGTAACTCCACCTCCTTCATTCGACTTGTATTCAAGATAAATGGATATTCTTTCATCCAAATAAAGACAAGTGAACAAGCTATGATACCAATAACTCTACATGCCCAAAAATTGACGAGAGCCTGATTCCACCACGCTGCCTCACATATGCCTAGTTGACAGAAATCAATATTTTTACAAAAGAAATAAAAACATAACCACGCTTCCACGAGCAAAGGTGGCTGGACACGACAACAAAGTCAACTAGTCATTCAAACTGAATCCATGCATGGCATATCAAAAATTCTCTCGACCTTAAAAAAATATTGCAAATACACAAGATGCACAATAAAATTAAAAGGCATTGCCTTACTTTTACACCCTTGACGTTCTTCTGGGGACAACACGTGAATTATGTAATAATAACCATTTTTTGTGACAGAAACTGCAGAGTACAAGACAAGACAGGAATCAACTGGAGGGGGCGGGCACGACTGACAACACATAACATGAGCATGGTAACAATCAACACGCCATCTGTCAGCAAGAGAATTAGCAACATAACAATGCAACATGAGGGTGGGGTGGGGGGGAGAGAGGACGAGTAAGGGCCAAGAACCCCAGCTGAACTGTAGTAAGGTGTCGATCGAAGAATGTCCATGTCCATCATAGAATGCCCCGTGGCAAACAGACTAGGTCCGATGAGTTGAAGGTGACTCTCAACGTACAGCAACATTTTTTGAGTGAGGGTAACAAAATAGATGACAGAGGAGAATATAATGCATTTCCTTCTGTGTGCATGTGTGTGTATGAGTGTGTGTGTGTGAATGGGAGCGTGTGACACATGGATGAGATGCGTGGACGGAGAAACAAAAGGCTCTCTATTATCTTGGGTGCTGGGCTGATGTCGCTGGTAGAGAAAATTCGGCAAACAGTGGGAAGTGGTCCGAGGGAACACATGGGTGCGGGCAGCCCACGATCTTGTTGGCTTTGAACCACTCCTCGTCCTGCAGTCCCATGAGCCCGTGGAGACGCAGATGTTGGTCTGAGTAGAAGACGTAGTCAATGATGCCTTTGAAGTCATATCTGAAATAGGCAAAATAACCTTCCTGATCATGCATTCCATGGTCTGTTTCTGTGCGTTCGTTTGTTTAGGTAAAGGGAAGCACATTGGTCTAGTAATAAGAACGGTCAGTTAGTGCAGAGAAAAACTACGAGAACTAGACAGAAATAACAGAAGGAAAAAATAAAGAAGGATCTACCAGTGGTTCTGTTATACCCTCCACTCCTACTCCACAGAAAAAGCAATATATTGTTGAAGTATAGGATCAGGGAAGTGCCAAAACTCATATAGTTGATACTGCAAGAAATAGGTGTAATAAACAAAACTTTCGAAGTATAAGGAAGACACAATGTCTAATTTACCTAACAACACTCCTAAGTTAAATTATCTGACAGCAGTTATCAGAAAGTCCAAATTCTGCTATGTAGTGTTGAAGACACATTATTGTGCTTAATAGCATCGTTTCTACAGAAGTGTATTTCCTTCTTGAACAAGGAGATCTGTTACGGCCAAAATATTGAAACTAGCCAAGACAGGTGCCTCGCATACATAAAATTATGGCAAGTGAAGCTAATTAGAGAAAAAAAATGCAAATAGTTATTAACACTTTGCCATCACAAGGCTCATAGAGTAAAAATCCTTGCCATCAAAGGCAAAGGTATTTTGGGGAAAATCTAAAGAAACTGAGTGGTAACATCGCCGATCGGCGAGATGTGACGGCAAAGTGTTAAGGAGTGTGCAGACAAAATGAGTCACATAAAGTGAAAATACAAAGGAAAAGGGAGAGATGGAAACATCAACAAATATAAAAATATCTTCCCATCAGTACAAGTAGTCTTAAATATTGAGACTGCCGTTTATTTCACATTGGCTGGCTACCACAGTGGAAGGGGAAAAGACATTGTCTGTATAGTGTGTGTGACCATGAGCTTTTTTAACATTAGGGACAACTTAGTGACGGGAAGGAAAACAATACGTTCGATCTTGATTTCAAGATTCTGCCCATGTTTCTCTTTCTTTTTCTTCTCTTTTCTCTCTCTCATAAAATGAAGAACAACTCCGACCTCCTGCTAGAACCCAAGACCTATCGTGGAACTTGCCTGTACTTAAATATGGGTACTCACGTATAATTTGTGAAGGGTATGTAGTCCTTGTAGGCGCTTTTCAATTTGAAATTGTGAGAGATGATGCCATTATCCTTACGGTCTTTCATGAACACTTGATAGTTTTGACCCTCAAAATCTTTGTGGCTTGCGTTGAGCCTGCCTCTTGAAAGATATTCATAAACACCTGGAACGAGCAAATGCAAAACAAAATTAGAATTGTTTTTGTTAGTAAGTGTTTTATGGCACTTGCAACACAATTAGGTCATATAAGTGTTGAAGATTACAGGTGTAACAAGAGAGTAACAAACACAAAAAAAAAAGGAGAAGGAGAGATAAGGATGATAGTTTGTTTCATAGGAAAGGAGGAGCTAACCACACCAGAGCACCCACCAATCATCCACCAAAATAAGAAGGAAAAAAATGGAACAACTGAGAGCATTCCGGCAGAGAAACGAGAGACAAAGAGCTACCAAAATGCGGTACATGCTATACAACACCGTTGCCGATCGGCGTCCCGTGGGGGCAAAGCGTTAAAAAACCTGATGTATACAGTAGACTATGACTCCTAAAAATACTCCTACAAACCTAAAACATCCCCAGAATTCTTGAACAACCAGCAGGGACACAAAGCAACCCTGTAATCACCATAATCGTCATAGCTGCCACTTTCCCGCTAAATAGCGGAAACTCCGCTACATCTAGCTTTCCCCGCAACTTTCCTCCTTCCTCCGCTGGACCACTCTTGGTCGCAAATTTCATACTTTTTTTCCACGCGGAAAACACCGAACCGGGAGAGAGACGAAAACGCGGTCTGCGCATGTCCGCCCGTAGCTTTCTACTTCCGTTCTTCTAGGCCCAGCGCTAGTTTCACATTGTTTATTGTTGTGGAGCAACACAGTGTCGATCGGGCATCGGGACGTTAGCGCGCCGAGTTGTCATTGAAATTGGCGGAAATTCGAGAGAAATTGATTCAGAATGCAAAAATAAAAGGAGCTGGAATGAGAAAGAAGCAGCCGGTGTGCGACTTGAAAAGTTCATTAGAAAATTGAACTAGCTGTTCTTTGCGAAAGAAATCGCGGCCCGCGGCACTCCTGTTACAGTCCTGTACAATTGCGGTCCCGTTTGTTTACATGACGGCTATTGTGGCTGCTGCGGAAGTGAATCTAGATTTAGATCTAGAAAATCAATCTCTAGATATAATCTAGATCTACACATATTTGATATATCTAGATCTAGATTAGATAGCCTAGGCTATAATTTTAATTCAGTTTAGATCTCTAAATAAGAAACACACTACAGGGGCACTAAGTGCAAACGGGACCGCAATTGTACAGGAGTGCCTGTGTATCCTTGATCCGATACTGCTCTTCGTCTATGTATGTACAAGTTTAAAGTGAAAGAAATCTTTTTATGAGACACCAGCTGGCAAAAAACACTAGATTTTTAGTCACCAAGTCCAAACTGTGTCAAATTGACTCGAATTCTTGTTAGTCAACTTACTGCCTTTATGTTGTTGTTGTTTTTTCAAATACATTTTAATTCAGTTGCCTATGGTTAACAATATGACAGTTTTCCCTTCCAAAACCGTAGGCTAGATTTTCCAGTATATATTGCCTCTGGATTTCACTGGTTTCGGAGAGCGCGCGTACGCTTTCGTGTGAATTTCCTCCTTTTAAAAAATTTCTGAGTGGCAGCTATGAATCGTACAAAACATCTACCAGGAACAAGACACTCCCCACTTTACTTCCATAACACTCATGAAGTTTTTGGGGGGGATTTTTTTTCCATTTATGGCAGCACTGGGCCTAATTGCAAAAGCCAGGATTTCTGACAAAACAAAAAACAAGAAGGAACCTGCCCCCCTAACAAAAAAGGATAGATAGCATTTGTACTGCACAAATTCCCGCTCAACAGCAAGCTCTATGCGCTTCACAACTATACTATTACCCCAGCAGATCTGAAAGCATTCTGAAACAATTTCAACTTCCTGGAAAGTACACAGTGCAAGCAGCCATTTAAAGGCGCTAAAACACTAATACACTGACAAGATTAAAAAAGAAAAGAGGAAGCTTGAGGTTTTGAGCAAACTAACTAAACAGCCACAGTATCTCTACCTGAGTCGGGCAAGGAGTTGAAGTCCCCACACAGAATGAGCGGCATGCTGTTACACAGGTCCCCGGCGTCCACCGACGGGGGCGGGGCGTTGGGCCGGAACTGCATGGAGGCCTCCTTCACATACTTCTGCAGCTCCTCAATGAGCATCATGGTCTGCACCAGCTTCACGTCCGGCAGCTGCGGGTCCCAGTGGATGTGAGCCGTGGATACCATCAGCATCTGCGTCAGGCCTTTGGGAGCCGGCACGGGACCTGCAGAACAAAAAACCCACAAATAACGTGAATAAAAGCAAGGGTCTTTTAGTTTTAATAGAGGTTTTACGGCGCTCGCAACTGCAAAAGGTCATATGAGTGCCAGAAGATTAGAGGTGTTACAAGAGAGTAACAAACATAAAAAAGAAAAAGGGGAGATAAGGACGATAGATGTTTGATAGGAAAGAAGGAGCAAACCACACCCGGGCATCCGCCAACCACCCACAGCAAGGGTCTGGGTGAAGACTAAAATAACAATCGTTAAACATTATGAGGTTTTAGTAAGAGTTTTAGAGTTTTATGGGCTGGGGAGAATAACATAGCAATAGCTAAACATTAGTGAAGTGAGCTGACAAAATGAGTTACTTCTCAGATTCAAGCCTTATGAAAATAAAACATCACGCTTATAGGTGAAGTTTTTATAATTTATAAGTATGAAATAATAAAAGACATGGTATAGTTAAAGAATATGCCATCAATAGAAAATCTACAGATTTGACCCAAGTGTCAATTTTTGGCTAATATCTCCATTTGTAGATTGCAAGAAGTAACTAATTTTGTCAGCATGCCCCATCATTATTAATTATGAGGTTTTAGTAAAAGTTTTAGAGTTTTATGGGCTGGAGAGAATAACATAACAACAGCTAAACATTATGAGGGTCTTTAGTAAGAGTTTAAGAGTTCTGAGGCACATGCAACACAATAAATTCACATAAGTGCCCTTGAATAGAGGTGTTACACGAGAGTTACAAACAAAACAAAAAAAAAGGAGGAGAGATAGGGACGATACATAAATTGATAGGAAAGAAGGAGCACACCACACCAGAACACCCACCAACTACCCTCTGGCTTAACAATAGCTAAACATTATGAAAGACTGAGGCAATTAACAAAAGAATAAACAAATACATTCTGAAAATATTGAAAGAGAGAGAGAGAGAGAGAGAGAGAGAGAGAGAGAGAGAGAGAGAGAGACAGAGAGAGAGAGAGAGACAGAGACAGAGAGAGACAGAGAGAGACAAAGAAAGAAAATCAAAACGAGTTTTAGTAAGTGTTTTACAGCACTTGCAACACAATAAGGTCATATAAGTGCCGAAGATTAGAGGTGTTACAAGAGAGTAACAAACACAAAAAAGAAGGAGAGATAAGGACGATATGTGTTTAAAAGAAAAGAAGAAGCAAACCATACCAGAGCACCCGCCAACCACCTGGATAAATGAGACAGACGAAAAGGAATAAAAAGGAGAGACGAAGGGGAAAAAAAAAAGGGGGGGTAGAGAGCGCGCACTATGAATAACCTAGATCCCCAACATCATGTAAATTTAAGTAGATACCCCAAAGTAAAAAACAACTGCGACATTCAATGGCTTCAAATTTGTGTGCAAAATATATATTTATGACTTTTTTTTCAAACCCAACATTTCTGGCACAATAGTTTCAAGTTTACAAGACTAGTCCGCAATTCTAACAATAAATTTTAAGAAGTCAAATCCACAGTTAGCATTAACTTTTATAAAGCTTTTAATGGGAGAAAAATTATTAAAATGCCACAGCAACACTGGATAAAGGTCTAGTTATGGAAAACCAAATTCTCATAAATCATTTTAAAGAATAAAACAGTCAGACACAAATCTTGGAACCATAACTGCTGGTAACTGTGCTGTAAAAATATGTTTCTAAATTTGCAACGCGAAGGAGTGGCTGGTTTTGTGGCTTCTCAAGTTACAGCCATTAATGTCAGCGGGCAGATTATTACAAGAACATCCCAACGAAAATAAAAGATTTACGACGTATGCTAATGAGGCACTGTGCTTCTTTTCACTTCTCTTCAAACACTACAACCCTAAAAAAGCAAGACAAAAACCATTATCCTTTTTTCATTATCCTTTAGTTATAGTAATAGTTTATAGCTCAGTCAATGACCCTTGAAGAGCCTCTTCTTCCAAGTTTGTCTTGTCATTTGTTCTCAACAGTTGGCCCTCTCATACATTAAGCTTGAAGAGGATGTCATTTATTTGAGACTAACTGTCAAACTTCTTTCGATGGAGAACAAAAATCTGCTAATCTGTTTGAAATCAGTAGTTTATAAAGTATATTACACTTGTCTTGAGTATGCTGGGTTTTGTTTTAATGTATAGAAGCAATAATGGCAATCAGCTAACTTGCTGTTAATTGTTTAAGGGGATCTACAACTGAAACTTTTTTTTTTTTTAAAAGGGAAGCACATTGAAACAATATGTCAGGAAACGTATTGAAATCAGGCACTTGGAAAAATAATGAAATCAATGACTCCAGCATTTTTCTGGCCACTGGGCAATTTTTTCTGAATTTTGTAATTTTTGTTTAAACACCTTTTATGTCCACTTAAAAACACATTCCGGCGAGTGTTTTACTGAAAAACGTTGATCAAAGGCACAAAAAAGGTAAATGTACAGTTCCAAGGACACTCTACCTTTGGAAGTCACTAAACTTTGGTGGCTGTTTTCGTATTTTTACCTCTGACTCTGACATCAGGTGACCCCTGCCTCCTTCAATCTAAAATATCTAGACTTCTATTAAAAATAGATGGGTATTTTTCCCCCCCACCAAATGCAAATCGATTGACTTGCTTTTAGACCATACTAATAACTCTATAAGCCCAAAAATTGATGAGCTTTTGATTCCACCACGTCGTGACACATGACGTGAATTTACTGCCGGGAAAGAGCAAGAAAGGACAGGCACGACCAGAAGAGGGAAAGAAAAGAATTGCTATACTTAACGCATAATTTAGAAGAACAGCCATACATCATTAGTGCCTTGGAATGACAGACCAAGACCAGGAAACCACAAAGCAAAAATTTTGTTTTACACTTGGTTGCTATGGAAACCTGGGATACAAATCTGACACCTTGAACTTTTCAAGAATTCTAATTGCCTCAGGCTCTGTTACTTCTGTATTACAATAAAATTGCATTTTTTTGTATATTAAGTCTTTGTAACTATCTTGCTATTAAACACCCATTAAAAAAAAATAAATAAGTGTTTGTCAAAAATCTATAAGCTTTGAACACGCCCTTTCTTCAGAACAGAACTAAATTTTATATTTTAGAAACAAAATCCCTAATGAGTACAAAAGGTAGGGATAAATAAGGAAATGACTGTGTAAACGTGAATGTATTTGTATACATGTGAGAGAGTATACGTGCACAGGTAATAAGTGTGTGTTTATGTGGTGAAAAACCAAACCAATGTGGCAGTGTCTGGACCATAAAAGATTTATTGTTTCTTATCGTATACAAAAGTCTTGTTCCCCAGCAACTTGCTGGATGTGCACTGGCATGGTTTGCTCCTTCTTTCCTATTTCCTATCATACATCTATCTTCCTGATCTCTCCTTCTTTTCTTTGTATGTCACTCTCCTTCTTTTTTTTTTTTGTATGTCACTTTCTAGTAACATCTTTAAACTTCATCACTTATAATAAACTATATATGTTGTAAGTGCTGTAAAACTCTTGCTACTGAAACTACAAAAAAACAACAACTTGCTATGACCTGTTCCCGGGTAGTATAGCATACAGATGAAAGTCATTCTTGGTAAACCTTTGTTGAGATACGTCTGTATGCAATACTGCCCACGTGTTCATGTTGCAAGAGCTGTAAAACTCTTCCTACTGAAACTACAAAAAACCCTCAACTTACTGTGACTTCTTCATGTTGCAAGTGCCGTAAAACTTTTGCGACTAAAACTACAAGAAAACAACAACCCATAACTAACTATGGCCTCTTCATGTTGCAAGTACTGTAAAACTCTTGCTACTAAAACTTAAAAAAAACCTCCTCAACTAACTATGGCCTCTTCACGTTGCAACTGCTGTAAAACTCTTGCAACTGAAATGACAAAAACCCCCCCCCCAACTTATTATGACCTCTTCATGTTGGAAATGCTGTAAAACTCTTGCTACAGAAACTACAAAAAAAACCCAACCCAACCCAACCCAACAACTTACTGTTCTCGTAGACGCCAGGCTTGGTCCTCAGCACAGCCACAATGGCGATGTTATCCTTGGTGCTGACCCTGTTGATCATGTCTGTGTCCGTGTTGGAGGCTCCCTCTTTGGTGGCTAGCTGGCTGAACTCGATGTAGTGCTCATTCACTTTCTCAAACCTGAGGGGGGGGGGGGGGGAAGAGAAGCAAGTTTCAGTTTGGTAAAATTTTACAACCAAAGGATATAGATAGAAGTTTAGTAGTAGTTTTAGTAGAAGAGGGTTTTACGGCACTCGCAACTGCATAAGGTCATACGAGCGCCAAGGGGTGGGTGTCAACAGAGAAGTCTTTACAGGGAATCAGACTTACTCTGCTCACCTCTCTAGCTTCAACAGCACAAAGTCTGCTTCAACTATCAAGGCACCCCGCAAATATCGGGTCACAAGAGTGTGACAAACATACAAAAGAAGTAGAGGAAAATGACAATAGTAAGGATCAGGAAAGAAAAAGCAGCAGTTCCCTGTTGTAGATCAGGCACAGTTATGAGCGTGACATGATGAATTAGCCCATTTACAATTCTACTGTGCATGAACGAGAATTGTCCCTCCTTTGGGAATGGCCTAATGACACTACAGTCATTGGCACTGCCCCCGGGGGGGGGGGGAGGATATAGTAGTAGAAATAGAAATAGGATGAAGAAAGAGGCGATGGATGGGACACACCCTCTGAAAGCTCAGCGGAAACATCCCAAGACAGTCCCTGCAGTGGAACCCACAGGGAGCACAAGGCAGCGCAGGAGTAGGCCATGGGAAACATGGAGATGTGTGGAAAGGGACATGAGAGAGATGAAGCTCACTTAGAATGAGCAAGGAAGGATGGCCCAGTACAGCTTGTATGAAGCCTATACCCTGCCAGGGGTGAAAGGCGTTGATGAAAAGTTTTGCGACGTGTGCAATATTGTATAAGGTCATATATGAGCGTGCGGGACACAGATTGGTTGGTCGATTTCACGTTAGTTCAAGTCATGTCTTAGTTTCATCTTTGCAAGTCAACGCAATGTTGCCTAAGGTCGTATGAGCTCGCGGAACATAGATTGCTTTCACGTTAGTTCACATCACTCACGTCTTGGATTTCACTTTGCAAATCAGAACGGTTGAAGGATCTTAAAATATGTATTAGTAAAAATAGTTCACGCTTCGCTGAACACAATTCAGATCATTTAAGAGGAGGACTGTTTTGACCTTCTCTGTTAAAGCCAATCTGAACTGAGAGGGATAGAGCATTTCAGCCGACCAAAAGTGGAAACTTGAGAAAAATAAGTTCCCCACTAATACTTGTTCATAACTGCCAGTTTAAAAAACAAACAAACCCCCCCAAAAAACAAAACCCCCAACAATACACATGCTGCATGTCAAGAAGGTGAACATTGGACAAGTAACACCCCCCCCCCCACCAAACCCTTTACATACACTTTTCTGCAGTCAATACATTTAAGCTATTGAGAACAGATCAGCAACAATAATGTCAGAAATGTGTAGTGGAGAGAGGGACTCGTTCCCATTATTGTTCTCAAATCTGGTCTTGAAAAGGTCATAATTTTTCTACAGCACTGGCAAGTCTATGAGGAGCAACACTAGAAAACAGAGAATACATATTTTCTGACACAAAATCCCATTTCCTAACTCCTAAAAAATAAATGAGATAATGTTTTTTTTTACATAATGGTCGACAGCAATGCTTGTTAAATAACCGGAAAAAAAAAAAAAAAAAGGAAATATTTCATGCCCTGGACTCTTCAGAACAGCTGGGTTACTTCTGCTTACATCTCCAAAGCACAGTCGTCACCACTTTCTTAGAATTTTGATTATATTGAAAAGAAAGAATACTAATCCTTGCAAAAGCAAAAATTTGTACCACAAACAGTCGTCAAACACCAGTCAGTGCCTTACTTGTGTTTCTTGAAGAAAATGGCGCAACCATCCACTGTTTTCTTCTCTTTTTCAGAGTTCATCGTCCTCACTCGAGATTTTGGCAAGAAGATCCCGTCGTAGCCGTGCTGAGCCAGGTCTGGCAAAAACATGTTGAAATACTGCTCTGTCTCCACCTCCTGCGCAGAGAGAAAACAATAAGCTCGGTCAGCAGAATGTACTTTGTACACAAACCACAGGGGTTTTTTTTCTTTATTCTTTTGAAATGTAGGTGTTTTACCCCTACATCAACACAATTTAGATCATCCAGGAGGGGGTTCCACTCTGTCACGGCCAACCCGGGCTGAGAAGGATACAACGTCCCAACAGAAAGACCCAAGATACTCAATAAAAATTCTCCCCGGTCTCCTGCAAAGCACGAACCGCTACACCACAGTAACAACCGGTAATAAAATCCGTTTTTCCATTATTATGATCCATAGTTTACGTAAAGAGAAGCCCACTGACATAATACTGGTCATTAGTGCGTGGACAAAAAGTAAGTAAAACACACAAGGTCAAAAACATCAGAAGTAGTACCTACAACTGGCCCCCTTCAAACGCCAGCAAAATTGACTTGCTTCAAATGAGCACCCAAAGAATACAATAAAGGGGAGCAATAGTGAGCATGGCTATGGACACATGTTTTATCTGTGTCTGACTCTAGTATGGCTATGGACACATGTTTTATCTGTGTCTCACTCTAGCATGGCTATGGACACATGTTTTATCTGTGTCTGACTCTAGCATGGCTATGGACACATGTTTTATCTGTGTCTCACTCTAGCATGGCTATGGACACATGTTTTATCTGTGTCTGACTCTAGCATGGCTATGGACACATGTTTTATCTGTGTCTGGCTCTAGCATGGCTATGGACACATGTTCTATCTGTGTCTGACTCTAGCATGGCTATGGACACATGTTTTATCTGTGTCTGACTCTAGCATGGCTATGGACACATGTTTTATCTGTGTCTGACTCTAGCATGGCTATGGACACATGTTTTATCTGTGTCTGACTCTAGCATGGCTATGGACACATGTTTTATCTGTGTCTGACTCTAGCATGGCTATGGACACATGTTCTATCTGTGTCTGACTCTAGCATGGCTATGGACACATGTTTTATCTGTGTCTCACTCTAGCATGGCTATGGACAAATGTTTTATCTGTGTCCGACTCTAGCATGGCTATGGACACATGTTTTATCTGTGTCTCACTCTAGCATGGCTATGGACACATGTTTTATCTGTGTCCGACTCTAGCAACGTATCCTCCACTTCATGTCAAACACTTCTGCCTCCAATCATAATATTCACAGCCTTAATTGCAACTGGTGATACTGTAATAAGTAAAAAGAACACAATATGCACAAAATTTTGGGCAATTTGTGAAGATAATAAGAAAGAATCTCCATGAATAAAAACAGCATCTTATCTAAATTCGGTGGATAAACGATTAAAACTGGACACAGACAATTTATTTTTGAATGTGCATGTGCTCACAAGAGGGGAGTTGAAAGAAGTCAGAGCTGGTAAAATGCTGGGGAGATTCCTTGTCCATTCATTTACTCTGTCACTGATGAATAAGTGTGCAAAGCTTCATTTTATATAATCTTTGCTATGAACTGTATGAGTGCTCTCTCATTCAAATCACCATACATAAATGTGTCCCATTATTATATTATTGTTAGTATTCTACTGAGGACTTACTTCTATATGTCATAGACATATGCTTACAGATCTGACAAAACTGAAGATTTATATGGGGGAAAAAAATGGACCCCCCCCCCCACCCCAAAGCGCCATCGTACACCAGAAGACCAGATTATAGATTCTCAAAAACAGGAAACAGGTGTGACTGAGCAGAGTGTTTGGCATGAAATGACTTAACAGATAACCGTGTGTCTTCTCTCCATGTCTTCGCACATCGTGACGATTCCAAAAAGGTAACCTGTGTAAGTCTTACCTATTTATTTTTCTTATCCTTATCCCTGCTCTACCTTATCTGTACATCTATCCACTTGCTTTTGATATTGCTCTCATTGGGTCCACTTATAATTATATCGTTTATCATCTATTACCACAGAGTTGCCTGAAGGACCACACACTGAAACCACAACTTGCCTGCAGGGTGATGATGTCTCCGCTCGTTCGCACGATGTCATTCATAATGCCCTTCTTCCGGTACTCCCAGTTCAGGGCCCACGTGGGGCAGTAGGCGTACATAGACTTGGTGCACAGCTTGTCACAGAGCACGTTGTAGCACATCACCGTGAACACAGCTGAAACACACACACACATTGATGACACACCAATCACATGTGAGGCAGTGTGGTGAAATCAGGCGCTCGTCATAATAATGCTGGGAATCTTTATTGGATTTTTGTATACGGCTCAACACCTTTCATGTCCATTAAAGAACCCATTTCTGTGTGGATTTTACTGAAAAAAAGTTGAATAAAGGCACAAAAACTGCATTTTCAGCCCCCACTGGCTCTCAAGCTAAAGAAATAATTTAACTTTGCTAGGCATTTTCTCGCAAATTTTACCTCTGAAAACAGGAGACACCCACCTCCTTCAATCGTTAATATCTCAACTTGTATCCAAGATGAACGGATCATTTTTCATTGAAAGCAAGACTAATAAACAAAGCTTTAAGATGATACCAATAACTCCACATGCCCTAAGATTGACGAGTGCCTGATTCCCCTTGCTTCGTGACATATTTAATAATTAGCAGCCCACATTGCAAATAGGCCAACTCTAAATTAGGGGCCACTATGGTCAATAAAAAGGACACGACAATGGACATAGAAGTAGAGATAGGACAAAGAAAGTGGCGATGGATGGGACACACCTTCAGAAAGCCCACCGGAAACATCACAAGACAGTTGCTGCAATGGAACCCATAGGGAGCACGAGGCAGGAGTACGCCATGGAAAACATGGAGACGTGTGGAAAGGGACATGAGAGAGATCAAGCTCACTTGGAACGAGCTTGGAAGGATGGCCCAGGACAGGTATAAAGGAAAGGAGCTTGTATGTGGCCTATACCCTGCCCGGGGAGGAAGGCATTGATGATGATGATTATGATGGTCAACAAAGTCAACTTCCTGTAGGGCATAGTATGGGTTCATCTCTTTCAACAGTGTAAGGTTTACGAATTGGGACCTCCACACTCATCTCTAATAGGCCGTGGAGAGCAAAGAAAACTCCCAAATCAACAGAAAAATCAAGAATACCCCATAAGTGATTTGAGCTGGGTCATCAGCATTATTGCCCAGCATCATACCAACAACAGAGCCAATGGTGCGCCTCAGCTCATAGTGGTCTGCATCATTATACTTGACTAGTACTTTTTAAGTCCCAGGTTAGTGCCAGTACAAATCCAAAGGGATTTTGAAAAAACTCCCTGAAACTGACTCTGTCCTAACAGACAAACTTTAGAAAGTAGTTGCCACCTCGTAAAGCCATGGTCTCTGTTAAAACAAACATTAAATAAAACCAAACCACGCAGGTAAGTGTGTCAATATGCCCTTTTACTCCTAGATCTATTACTCGCTTATTACTTAAACAGCCATATATGGATCGATGGTAGACAGACAAGAGAAAGTGCAACAACAGAACAGGATGCAGAAATATATTCACTCTCACTTGGCTGAAATTCTGTGCGAAACAGCCAAGTGCCGAACCCATTACAAGACAGATGTAGGTCAGTTTAGAGAACGGCTAAAGAAAAGTACACAGCAATACACGCGTTATTTCTCGGCTATCGAAGATGCTTCTCAAGATAAACTCGCTATAACATGTGCCAAGTTCTAAAATCACCTACCGGCTGGAACATCTTTGTCAGGGTTCCCTGCACTGATCCATGGTCTGGATGGTTGGGTATTTATCTCATCTGAAGAAGAAAAAAAACAACAACAACTAATGACTAATTGCAAAGCCAAAAAACCCCAAAACAAATAGGAGCACTCCAGATTTGATGTAATCACTCCATTTTTTTCATGGAGGGTCCATAAAGTGTATAATTTTATCTTGCGTTGAATGTAAATGAAATAAATGTTTAACTGAAATACTAGTTCATACAACAAAGTCAACACATTCCACAATTTTCATTAGTTCCCCCAATTATTTATTACTTTACTTTTACTGCCATTTTATACTGCAAAGTGTCGAGGGGAGATGCAGCAGTTAGATTTGGGCCAGGCGTGTTGCCTTTTGGATCACCATATTGTGCTCTTGAAGGATCTCTTTGAATCAATCGACCCATCTTTTACTTAGACTTCCTCTTGCCTTGAAGCCATCAAATGGCATGTTGTAGGCCTTTGAAGCTGGTTGCCGTGGCTTCATTTGAAAAAATCCAGACATTTTACTTGTCCTATTGTAATGTTTCCTATAATCCCCTAAATTGTTCCCTCCTAAAAAAGAAATCTGGTCAGATCTGATTTTGTACTGGTACGAGGAAGTATGAGCCTCAAAATAAATGTTTGGCTGTGTTAGAATAGCTTGACCTGAGGTTGTATGATGTAAATTGCCTGAATATATTTCACGCCTCAGTTGACATAAATTAAAATTCAATTCAAGAAGATGCTTATTCATGTTCATTTCTCTCCCTCAAAGAAAGATCACATAACCTCACAACAATATAGACAGCAGACTGCTTTGATCCTGCCTATCAGACCCAATCTGGGGGTTGTGGGATACAACATCCAAGGAAAGAGCTGAGTCATTCAATCACATATCTTCCCCATGAAGGAATCCATCCTATATCCTTTGCTTACAAGACAAAAAAGATTCCCCCCCCCCCCCCTTAATATTAAATAATATTATGATGACAGAGTCAAGGGATCAAAGAAGGTAACAAAGATTTATAAGATCATGTGCATTAACAGCCAAAACAGAATCCTTTTTAGAGCCTATTAGTTTTATAAAAATTATAGGAAGTGCAATGTAAAGCATGTACAGCTGTTAAGCATGGAATGCGTTATATAAATGTATCTGTCATTATTATCTTTATTATTATTTAACTGTTGTTGAGAGGAAGTGTATGCAGAGTATGTTGAGTGGAAGTGTATGCAGAGTATGTTGAGTGGAAGTGTATGCAGAGTATGTTGAGTGGAAGTGTATGCAGAGTCCAGTTGAAAAATGGTAACATTCAGCCTGAAGCATATTACAACAGTAACCGAAAAAAAGAAGTAGCTGGAGCAGACCACACATCACATTTCTGGTTTGTCAGACACCCAAAAACTAACTGTAAATCGTATTGTACACATTCATCTAAAAAAAAAAAAAAAGTACACAAGTAAATGAAAATATCTTGGTGTGAGACCTTAAAAAAATGTAACCGTGTCAATTTCCCTTATAGTTATAGCTGGTAGATTATCATTCAAGCCATATTACACTGATCCTGCCTGAGGAAGGACCTTTATTCTATCTCTGGATACTTAACACAAACACACATCTGAACACACAGCTATAAACTCTTAAAACACATAGTCAGCGGACAGAAACGGTAGTGACATAAAAAATAATTTCACAGTAACTGCTGCTTCCAACTCCCACGTACAGGAAATAGTATCCACACCAAAACTCTTCATAAAACTGATCTACAAAGAACGGAAATAATGTAGAAACAGACAACAGATGGAGGCCCAGCAATATATATGTATCCCCCTTAAGGCTGCTTTAGCCCAAGTCAGAAAATTCAGTCAACATTTCTCCCCTTGTAGTCAATACCAATTAATTGTTGTAATTTGTATTCCAATGCTTTCTCTTTCCAAAACATTTCATCCTGTGTTGTACAGAGCTCCTCACATCATTTTCGTATTATAATGACAATGTTCAAGATGCCCACTAGGGGTGGCTGGTCGACTTGAAAAAATTAGCACGGTAATTATATGCCTGTCACAATCAGTGGCATTTACCTCCTCTTCCTCCTCCACCATATATCCTGTTTCCATCTAAATTTGCTTTCCCCTTCCTAGAAAAGAATTAACTTTCCCTTGATCACAAGTCACAAAAAAATTGAATTAGTTAAGTACATTCAAGGTAAATGCGGATTAGCAAGTAGAGGTATGCAAATTTACCAGACAAGGTGCCCTAACAAGAGATCCATAGACTGACACGTGTAGTGCCCAGTACAGCCAGGCTGTATTTGTATATGTTAATCATCGAGTCCTCACACAGAGGAGAAGGCTATTGTTATTTGATCTTCAGCAAGCTAGAACAAACTGCAGAGCCTAATTGATAAATGCAGCTATATTTTCTTAGAACACAAGCTCTGAATGTATGAATAACTTTCCATCCCCTTACCCACTCTTAAAACCACAAAGTGAAATGGGGAAAGCTGGAGAGGAGATAAATATCAACAATGACACTTTATCTGAAAAGGAAGGTAAGACTTTGACTGTTTGTATGTGCAAAAGAGGTTTTGTAAATGTGTACCCTTTTATTGCATAATATACCTGTGCCAGTTTAGATGCACTTTATCTAGGCAGCATTTTTGTGGGAAGGAGATAAATAGCATTGAGAAGTTCATGAGAAGATAACCCATTCAGCACTACAATAAACTCTTTATTAATATATTAAGTATTTAAGGAATGATGTGTGTGTGTGCGTGTGTGTGTACAGAATGCTCCACCGAATGTGGGACCGGTGACAGAGCAGCTGTTTAATGGCTTGAAGGCACACTGAAGACATTACATCGAGTGTCAAGTTCATAAAAATCCCTGTGTTTCACTTAATGGAAGTTCCAAGGTTATGCCGGTGATGTGACACCAGGTATTGTATTTCTATCCCTGGACCTTCACAAAAGTCACAAAACATTACACCTGCTGCTTCTTCCACTCTCACCAACGGTTTTAAATTTCAATCTAAAAGCAGATCGGGGGAAAAAGCGTGGGCCTTTGAGAGGATAAAAAAGAAATAAAAAGAAAAGGAAGGCAAGTCTGTGACTGTTTGTGAGTGCAAAAAGAGCATCACATGATGGCTCCCAATGACAAAACCTGAGGAAAACATCCTAACCTTGAAGCGATGAAAACAAATCATTACAGAAGAAGAAAAAGAACATACAAACACATACATGTTAACACAAATGTTATCACCAAATTCAAGGGCTGGTAAAACACATTTTAAACAATTTATAGGGTAAGCAGTATAAAACTTACATTTTTTCATCTCGTGAAGGGGAACAAAGTCAGATTTGAGAGGATGGAACAGTGGGTAGCTGTATCTAGAGGGGAAGGAAAAGCTCTCTTGGGGGCTGGGTAGAGTGGGCGAATAAACTGCCTGATACAGGGAGTGCACTGGGTACGGCCACGTGGAGGAGGCTGGGTGGTGGTGGTGGTGGTGGTGATGGTGCGGGGAGGGGAACTGTGGTGGCTCATTGTGGTAGATAACTGAAATGGTCACATCCAGACCCGTCAAATCCATGTACACTGAGTCTGTGATGTGATCCGAGCCTTGGAGGTGGGCGCGGCGGGACGCCTGAGACACATCAATGTCCCATAACTGCCGTGCACCCTTCCAGCTGGCCGTGGCTCGCTTGGGCCGTGGCTGGTGCTTGGGCTTTTGATTTCCTCCCTGGTCCTCTTGAGTGGAGTCCATGTTGAGGCACCGGGGAGCCACATGGCGGGCCCTCCGATGAGACGGCCTCTCCTGGGTGTAAGACACATGCAACGAGCTGCTGCCTGCTGAAGATTTCACAGAAGTGGTCGCAGCCCTCTGTGAAGGTACGGAAAAAAATGATGATGGTGGTGGTGGTGGTGATGATGATGATGTCATCGTCGCAGGTGGCGGCGATGATGATGGAGGGGGAGGGCTGTTAGAAGGCAGAGAGCGAGTGCTGCAGCTGTCCTCAACATCCGATGACACGTCCGAATCCGAAGACAAAGACACTCGTGGAAAAGCTGCTGCCATGGCTGCAGCTGCCTTCTGGTTCGGCCGGTATTGGCCGTGAGACCGGAGTTGACCATGAGACCGGAGCTGACCCCGAAACTGGTGTTGCTGAGGCTTGCCGTGAGGCTGGTGGCGAGGCTCAGAGCCTGGGGGTGCAGAGAGAAAGCCTGCGTCCTCTGCACTGGCACTATCATCGTACTGGTAACAGCGGTACAAGCACCATGTGTTGACGCACTCTGGGCAGTGCGAGGGTGGGCAGTCGTATTTGATGAGAGGCACGCCGGATGTGTACTCCGCTAGCTGCTCCAGCTCGTCCCGGGTAAATTCACAACCTCGGACTTCATCCAACAAAGGCAAATCTCCAATATCGTCTGATAGTGTGTCAGAGCTGGACACAACCGACGCTTTGTCGCTTGTGTCAGACTCATCAGTGCTCTCCACAACCTTCTCAGCCGTTGTGGATAAATCATTGCAGATTAATTCTACATTTTCACACTCTGCCATGTTGAGGCGTTTGGTCCCATGTTCACTGTGAGAAGTGACAGAAATGTTGTTGAGAATGTTAAAGGTTTTTGTGTCAGCAGAGTTATTGGCAAGATTGAGCTCCAAGTCTTTTGGCTCTTTGCGATGGGCTTTCTCGATGACGGAGATCAAGGCAGTGAGATTCTTCCTGGATTTATCTTTGGCATCTTTAATCATCAGATGGGATTGCACGAATGGGGATTTATGGTAGCTGGGTCCAAAACTAGTCAGAGATTGTGACATGTGATGATGGTGGTGAAACTGGGGACAAGCTTGATGAAAATGGTGATAGCTATTTGGCACAAATTCTGGAATAGAGTCCACATCCCGGTAAAACGATGAGAACCGTTGATAGTCAGACCCATGTCTACGTAATTTTTGTGGGTGGTAAATACTGTTCCGCACTCCCGTGGCGCTGCGGCTGGAGAACTGCTGCTGCTCCTCCTCTGACGAGCGGCCGAACCCATCGGAATCTCGGTCCAGGCTGGACTGGTGGTACTGTTTCCCTGGACTCCTCAGGGTGTCCTTCAGATGTATCACGATGGGAGTGCTGGCCTTGGAGTGCTGCTGCTTGCGTCTGGCCCCTTTCCCTTTGCGGCCCTGCTTGCTGCGCTGCGTGCGGGTCCGCTCCCGCTGGCAGTTGGCGCAAGCCGAGCTCATGCCCTCCAGACGCTTGACAAAGCTCTCCTGGCTGATCACCTCCAGGTTGGCTGACGCACTCACCACCTCGCGCTTCACGTCAGACTTTTCCTCCTCCTGAAGCTTGCCCATCACGGTTCTGAGCTTATCAAGTAATGAGTCTTGAAGTTGAATATCAGCTTATCACAAGCGTCTTAGCCCATGAGTCTACATGCCCATTACAGCTCACTCCTGCTGTTTTATTGTAATTTAAGTAGTAATGGTCTGATATACAGTCTATCTAATTGGTTAAAACATTGTTTTCATCTATGATGCTCGATAGCTGTATACACCTGTGGGGAGAAAAAAAGAAGAAAATTAGTCCTATTTTGATCACTTCAAGAAGCTTTAAAATGTTATGAAATAAGTGTTCTTGCTCTATATTAAATGCAAAACAAATACAGACGAAATTTCCCAAACAAAATACAAATGCACTCAACTGAACACACTTAAAGACAAACTCAAATTCACAATTACAAGAAATTGACATCCATACATCTCACCATTTAAATGGCAAATCAAACCTGAATATTTGAAAGACAGAATTGTAATTTTTTTTTTTAATTTAAAAAAAAGAAAAAAAAAGAAGAAAAAAGAAAGAAGAAGGAAAGAAAGAAAGCAAGCAATGCCATCACAAAGAACGTTCCACATCAGGCGTCAGATATCACGGTCTACTGACTTGAGGATAGCTCAACCGATACCCCAAAATACAGCTTCACTTGCACAGGCCCGAACCAAAGCCATTTGCACTGTAGCCCATCATGATATTGATATTTATTGAGTTCACATTATACCCCATTCAGCCATGTTCAGTTTCAGTAAACAGAACCACATTGATAGGCTACTTTATCTGCCGTTTAGTGCAGGACAGACACACAGACAGAAACAACAGAGGGATAAAAAAAAGAAGAAAAAGCGTACCAGCCACCCGTCTATGCAAATGGGATTATAATCTTCTTTACAAGAGCTTTTCTCCTACCAGGAAGTTTGTAAGAGCAAAGAGAAGCACTTTGACAAAATAACGGCCATTCGGTGTTCCGAAATTAAAGCAAGAGAGAGAGAGAGAGAAAAAAAAAAGAAAGCAAAAAGAAAGTAGGACATACTGGTGGTGCCCTTCAAATTTAACCTCCCATTCTATCCGGGGTGGGGGTGCGGGAGAGAAGAGGG